TGGCACAACAAAAGAACAGGATCAAGAAAATGCAATTGCAAATAAATCCAAGAAAGAAAGCAAAGATGATGATTATTGGCATCACCTACAAGCAAAGTAGCAACTCACAAAGGAGATGAATAGTAATTGTAAAAAAAAAAAGCTTTAAGGCTCTAATACCATGATAGAAAAATAAAAAAAAAGAAAAATATAAAGATATATGAAGAAAGAAACTCTTTTTTTCTTAATTTCATTGAATATACAAGGTGCTTATTTATAGACATGTACAAGAGAATATTCTATAATACAACATCAATTAATCTAATTATATCAATAAATTATAATGTGAACCCAATCAATATAATTATAATATGAATATTCTGTAACAAATATAAACTGCCAAGGGCTCAAGGTTGACACAATGTATGACAACAATTCCATCAAAAAGTGAAGCATATAGTGGACTTGTTGCACACCAGTTGGCTTCCTTCTGAAAAAGCAATTGTTGAATACAATGAGGCATGGCTAAAAAATGGAAACTGGCCTTCCATACGTTGTGCTATGGAACTGAGAAAAGCAGGAATTCAGTTCAAAATGGTTGAGACAGAAGAGGTTGATCAGAAAATAAGCCAATTTGATGTTAAGTTCAAAAACAGGATACTGGAGATTCCACGCCTGACTGTTTCAGATAGGACGGAAAGCTTGTACCGTAACCTTGTTGTCTGTGAACAGTTTGACAATAGATATCCAGCATTCTTAACTGATTACATTGTACTCATGGATTTCCTAATCAACACTGGGAAGGATGGGGAGTTACTTTGTGAACATGGAATCATTGATAACTTGTTAGGCAATGGTGAAACAGTTGGGGTCGTGTTCAACAGGCTTGGAGATGAGATTGGTTTCTCCAGAGAAAGTTTCTTTTATGTCAAGTTATGTAGGGACATCGACAGGCATTACAATTCACCTTGGAACAAATGGAAGGCAAACTTAAAGCACAAGTATTTTAACACTCCATGGACTTTGATCTCCCTTGTTACTGCAACTCTGTTGCTTCTACTTACACTGCTACAAACCATATTTTCCATTTTCCCTCTTTGGAGTGAAAGAAACTGATGTGCAGCAGAAATATAGTTTGCTACCCTTTTGTACCGTATAGTTACCGTACGTTTTGTATGATTGTATCTTGCTTTTTTAAGGTGTTCTAACTATTATTATCATGTTTTAGGTTTGTTTTGTTGGGTTTCTTTGGGTTGTAAGTTGTCAAGTAGTTTCACAAGCATATATCCTTGACATGGAACCAAACTGTATACAGGAGTAAAGTAGAGAAATTGCCCGGTGATGAAATTTTAAAGCAAGGGCTCTTGATCTGAAGAGAAGACTAGAACAACAATTAATCTCAGAAGTTTCATTGAAAGGGTGAAATCATAGACAAGTTCTTCGCAATTTGGTTTATGCATTATTTTCTTTTGCCCTGTTTCCATCCATTTTTTCATGTATGAAACTCTTCCATAGAATTATTCTCTGCCTCTTAATATAAGAGGCAGCTAATTTCCTCAAATTTATTAAGCAATAAATATGGATTTCCATCACCAATGGGAATTAGGAAATACCTGTCATGGGATGATCTTTTCGAACGTAGCTTCCTCCACCAATTTATCTCAAACACTTGTGCTTTTGTCTCACTTCTCCTTGTTTTTTGGTTTTCCACCCAGTATCCGAAGCTTTGCCCCGACTAATCCGGACCCGATCCGCGTCGCGTACTTGAAAATGGTGGGTGAGTCTCTCCACAGGGCTGCTACATACACAAGGTCTCGAACTCGAGACCTTGCGTAAGTTGAAATAACCCAGTTACCACTTGATCCAACCCCTCGTTAGTCTCACTTCTCCTTGTGTTTTAGCCTACTTCTATCTGAAAAAGTTTCAAAAAATAACATTAACAGTGATAAAGCTATATAAATGTTCAAAAAATCCGCTTGACAAATACTAAGGACATTGACGACTTCAAACTTCAAACTTTGGTAATAAACAAGATCACTTCATTTTTAACCCCATCAAACAATAATAAAGCCTTAAAAGTACAACCAGAAACACTAAAATATCTGAAACAATTTAAACTGAAAGGAAAAAGACAATGCTGATCAACAAGAAAACAAGAACTACATCTTCTCTAGAATCTCGACTAAGAGATTGAATCCAGCAAAAAGAGTAAAGAAGACTCAATTCAACTATAAAAGAAACACCATCCAGGTTCAGTCTAGAACAAAGAGTTAATTAGCAGCAGAATGGGTAATCCATATATCCAGCGCAAGGCCGTTTGATTCCTCTCATGGAGCTGGCACAAGTATCAATCAAACATGGCATCATAATCACCTTTGTGCACATGGATTTCTCAGGCATTCTTCGAATCAATGTTGAAAAGTTCAGAAGAAGATCGATTCTTTTTTAAGTAGAGGCTTCAAGAACGGGATGATGGGCAAATTCCCATTTTGTTCTTGATGGGTTGGACTGGTTGAAGCTGATAAATTACGAGGCCTTTGGGCTTAAGGTTTTTACCCATCATTGAGCCTTAGACCATTATTAGACTGCTGAAGTTGGATAGGGTACAAAGTCCATCATGGATTTTTTTTTTTTTTTTTTTTTGTGGGGTGGGGGGGTGGGGTGGCGGGGGGAGGTTTTATAAGCTCCATCATGGAATTTAATTAATTTGGAGTCATGGCAACTTTAAATTTCAATATAATCATTTTTTATATTGAAAAGAATATTTTAATTTGCAAAGTAAAGAATGTGCACATATGCTTGGCTTGGCAAGGACATAGTCATTGTTATTGTGGATCTAGTGGCACAACAAAAGAGAAATCTGAATCGGCATTGTGGTACAATGATCTATGGTCCAAGCTTAAGAATTAGTAGCCTCAAGCCAACGACAAATAACTTATAAACAAGCTTTGTTGTTTGTGGTATTTTTTCCTTCCTCGAAAATTCCCCAAAAGAGGGAGACATTTTAGTTACAAAACACATTTTCTTGTTAAATTTTGTGTAATTTATTAGCAAATTCATGAAATTTAAACGCAAAAAAATATATTTTTGAATTTAGAAAATATATATTAGCTATAACAGCCTTACTGGGTGATCCTTTTTTTTTTTTTCATCATCTATAAAGATCGAAGTCTTTCTTATATCACAACAGAGAATTTTCAAGTTGAGTACAAAGTTGAGGAATATATTATTAATAGACTGGCGTCTGCTGAGGCCAAGCAACTCCCTCTTTAACTTAGCTACCTCTACCAATATGTATTTTAAAAAATTTATTGTCACAGGAAAGTTTTTCTTATGCAAACAAAAAAAAAAAAAGAGACATCAATGGAGATGAGAATACCTCATGTATTCAAAAATTCCAAACAGTTGAAAACAAATCCTAAGGATATGTCCATGCAATTGCCCTCATGGAGCTACTACAGATCTTGATCAAGTTAGCTAGGGAACAACATATCTGCAAAGAAAATACTCGTTCTCCTGCAACTCAACAGACGAATTCAAGATCTTCCCCATTGTCGCGTTTTCGGCACATGGACTTAGAAATTCGGCGTGATTTTTTTTTTTTTTTGGAGAAAAAAGGAAAAAATATGATTACGAGTTTTGTTTCTCACTTGATCCATAAAAATCAATCAGTTTCTGAAGAATCACCACTTGCGTCCTCAAAAGAACGATGTATTTGGCAGTTTCTTTGAACAATTGGTCGGGTTTTGATGCCTCTCCAGTATGCGACGGAATGAGGTTCTTGAGGGCTTCCAGCTTGTCCGAGACCTTGGAGCAGCAGCGCAACCGATTGACGATGTTGGCTGTCCGAGCCGCGCAGCCGCAAACTTGAAGTCTTTTTCTGGATAATGCCGATCTCACTCTTCTTCTTGCTCTTACCTGAGCTCGGGGCAGAGGACTTTTGCTGTTCGTTGGAATTCCCATTTTCAAAAGAAGAAGAGGAAAGGAGGGTAGAAGAGGCCTCCGAGCGAAATTGATGAGGGGGGTGAACGGGAAACGGGGATTATGTAATAAAGAGTTAACAAATTGCTACTTTAGTTGTTTGTTATTACAGAATTGCCATTAATTTGCTTTCGTTTTTTAAAGAAAATTTTACCATTCCTCTTATTCTTTAAAATATTAGTTATAGGTGGAAAAAGACAAAATTGTCATAGATTTTTTTAATTTATATCCTTAATATACATAAATTTATATAAGAAAATATAAAAATAAATATTATTTTTAATATTAATATTATGTGGATGATTTTTATTAAATAATTACTAAATTTAAAGTCAACTTTTTTTTATAAATTAATTAAAAAAGTATAATTAATACACAATTAATATATACAAAACCCTATCAAAGATCTATTAGTTTGAATAAAAAAACTTAATTTTCTTTAAATAAAATCTTAAATTTAAATGTTATAAATAAATAAATAGATGTTGAAAAAATCTCTGTTATGGGGTTGAACGTAATTGAATTTTGAATTAATTAAAATTTAATATAATTTTCAGAAATCGAAAGATTAGTAACATATATATATGTGCAAAAACCCAACTATCATTAATAAATTTTCATGTATTCTTAATATTTTAAGGTTTTTCACAGTAATTTATTAAAAGTATTTTCATCTTTTTCAACATCAGAGATATTTTTAAATGCACAAGGAACGGCAAAAAAACATGTTTGATTTTTTTTAGGAACCATTGGCATTAAATTGGCAATTTCCTTCTGGTTTTTATCATGCAAAGCATATTGGTGGTGTTAAAAAGAAGGCAACAATTATTGTAATACAATTTTCACAAGAGCTGGGAATGGCCCAGAATCCAGATCATTTAACAGCAACTGCTCATTTTTAAAGGGCCATGCATTGTAGCGTGAAAGATAAAACCATGAAGGGTAGGGCAGGTCCAGCGAGGACTAAAACTAGTGGGTGGATATTTTTTAATGAACTGATGGTAAAGTTGTAATTTTGGTGGAAAGAAACACCAATTTCGTACGAGCAAGTTGGGACAACTACAAAGCCTGCCTGTATCTATAACGGGCACGTGAATCGGGGGCGGGGTGGGGACGTTTAATTTCGTTTGTTTCCAAAAATGCCCTTGAATTTGTGCCAATTTTACTTGATCAATGTCTCAAAATTATCTCTTCACCAACCAACAAAACTTAGCTGAGAATATTTGTTAGTTGAGTTGATACATACTAATTAAAGATTTTTAAATTTGAGATGAAGATTAAGAGTCTAAGCTCCTCTAATGTTAAGTAACTAATTCTCAATAAACCAAGAAAAAAAAAAAACTCTCCTCTATGAACTAAAGCTTGTTCATTAGTCAAGAAAAGAAGCGTGGATTAATATACAATGGAAATCCAAATGATCTTACATGAAAAGGCAAAATTGGAGTATTGAGCACTTAGATGTTCCTGAACCAAATCCCACCCCAATACTTGAAATTTCCCTCCCCTAATTTCCAATGAAAAAAAAGGGATGAAATTAAGCAGATATAAAAGCATATATATTTTTTTAAGTATAGGACAAACAATGGCATTTCAGATAAATTTAGAGAGGTGAAAAAGGGCAAATGGATCAATGAATGAAAAAGAAAAGTGTAGTAATAAGGCTTGATGCATAAAGGTGTATGGTTTCCGTAGAGGATGCATGTGGAGATGATATGGGCCAGAAAAGCCCCAATGGAAGGAAGAGAAGGGAAAGAGAGCACATGGAAATGCACATGGTAAGAGTGAGAAAAAGGATTTGGAAGAAAAGAGAAGCATGTGGCAAGGGGGGGACAGTGGAGCAGCATGTTCTGCACATTCCCTGCATTTTCCACTGACCAAATTGCAGTAGAAATGATTTTAATTTAGCCTCTTGTTTAATCTATTTGGATTTTGGTTGGATTAGAGTGATTTTTTAATTTTGAGAAAAGGGCAATTTGATACATCGAATTGAAGTATTGGCCACATTTATATCCAAAATTTCCACCATGTGTGCCAAATGTCTAACCAGGATTAACATGTGATTGTATTTTTATTTTATCAAATTACGTTAGCAGTACATAAGTATTCTTTTAGTATATATATGTATGACTAGTATTCAAATACTTTTATGAGTCCTTTTAAACTACTTTATCCACAAGCATAATTAAGGCAGCCAAATCACTATTCAAGATTGTACTGAACATGATTCGTTATAACCATTTGTAGACAAATGACAAAAAAAAAAAAATGTATTTTAAACATAATTTATATCATTGCTTATTACTTGAGGGAATTCTCCTTTAGTTATCTTTCTTTATAGGAAATTAATTTTTTTTAGGGTGTGTTTGGTTCATAGAGAACTTGTAAAAAATTT